TAGTTCTCACGGAGACGCTGAAAAGAGTCAGAAAGGAACCTACACCGACGCTGAGTTCATCATCAAGGTAGATGGTTCTATTTTCGACCAAGTGTACCGTGGGCAAGCTGATATCTGATGGAGCGTGCAATTTCTGGTCAAACAGATTAATTCCCTCACATATTTCTCTGTAAGATAAATCTCCATTTCATCTTAAAACTCTCCTCTTTCTCATAAAATCAGTACAGATATTTTAGAAATATCTGAAGCAAAGTCCTCGATCACCGCCGAGTGATCGATGCTCATTTCCTGTGAAACTTGTCTGTTATTATTTTCATATTTTGCCAAATTAATGTAAATGTTTGATGTTAAACTTTGATTCTGAAAATAAATGACCGCATTGATTTGATGGGTCAAAGATAAATAACGTCTCTCGTTACATTTCTGTTAAATTCAATGCACGACATTACACAGTCAGAAAGATGAGGAACTCGTGAAAAAGTATGCATATATATCTCATATATTGTCATACTACAGCAGTATTGCACTCTGATGGTCTGTTGTGGTGAAGAAAGAGCTGAGCTGTAAGGCAAAGCTCTCTGTCTACGTTCCTACCCTCACCTATGGTCACGAGCTCTGGGGAGTGACTGAAAGAATGAGATAGCAGATACAGGTAGTTGAAATGAGTTTCCTCTGCAGGGTAGCTGGACTCTCCCTTAGAGAAACTGTGAGAAGTTCAGTTATCTGGGAGAGACTTGGAGTAGAACCGCTGCTCCTTCACATTGAGAGGAGCCAGTTGAGGTGATTCAGGCATCTGGTAAGAATTCTCCCTGTGCACCTCCCTAGGGAGGTGCTTCGGGAATGCCCGACTGGGAGAAGACCCAGGACACGCTGGAGAGACTATGTCTCTTGGTTGGTCTGGGAACGCCTTGGAATCCTTCCAGAGGAGCTGGAAGAGGTGGCTGTGGAAAGAGATGTCTGGGCCTCCCTGCTCAAGCTGCTGCCCCGTGACGAGACTTCGGAACAAGCGGAAGAAAATGGATGGATGGATGTACAGGAATTTTATTCTCATAGTATCTTTTCAAACTGATTTTTGTACATTTTAAATCTTAACCTCTCAATGAACTTGATTGCTCTAGTTATTGTGTGATTCTGCACATTTCATATTTTCTTAGGTGCAAAAATCTGTCTATAATTTTGAAGGTTCTTTGGTTAATACAAAAATTATTTTTATTTCCAAAGGATGAAAACAGCACCTCTGCCAATATTGAAAATCCCCTCAGCTTAAAACCAAATTAAAATAAATGAGGTGTTGCTGATCAAGTAGAACAACCAGTTTTTAAAATGAAACCATATTCCCAGAAATTTCAGACGTAATAAAGAGTAATTAGTTCTGAAATGGTCTGATGGCAAAAACATGTGATTCTAAGTCACACTTCAAAGCTTCATTTGAAATGATTTGATGTAATTCTTTCATGCAGCTTGACTAAAAGCGAGCAAAGTAAAAATGCATGCACACATGTGAAGCTTGCAGACAAAACGAAAATGAAGCAGAAATGTAAGTATTAAAAATGTATTAAGAAAATTTGTCTATGCATTATGTGAGATGAGTGTCCACAACTTTTAAACCATGACACAGTATGAATTAAAAACACCAAATGCAAACCCCTGCATTTGCTCGCAAAACCTCTAAACTTGTTATTGGTCCAAACACGAGATAAATTGCAGGCCACAAACATCACAGAGAGTCACAATACCAGAGTCAAACTCTAAACTCTCACCTTTAACCTTTGCACCATCTCCCTGATGTCCAGCGCACAGCCATCTGGTACTCTCACTGAGATATGGTCCCCTCTTCCGTAGAAGATCTTTAACGCCAGTCGCTCCGGTGTCCAGCCGATAACATCTCCGCAGAAACAGTTAAACACCACATCTTTGGTGGAGCAGTCTACGAGGAGCACGTATTCGTCCGAGATGCCCAAAGCGCAGGAGAGCTCTGTACCTCCTCCACTGAAGTCCTGGGCAAAGACTCTCCAGGCGATGGCCCCTGCAGCCCCCAGCTCGGCACCCTCTCTCGCTTTCGAGCGCTCGCGTTTCTTATATGCAAGGAAAGTGATGATGGATATTCCGGCCGAGTCGAGCGGCACGCTGCTGACGTAGTTCTCAGCCAGGTCTCGCAGATACTCCTGCCGCGTTCGTGTTGCCATGGTGTGGAATTTCTCTGACTTGTGTGCGGCATTTTCTGCGTTGATGACTTTGGCTAAGAGGAAGTTACGAAAAATCTCTGGGTCACGGAAGGTAACGCCGTTGGGGATGGGGGGTCCAAAAGGGGGCACGTCCTTCATCCGTGTCACAGCAACACTGAAGGAGACAGTAGAATGAAAGTACATGAAATAATCATGTAATGCATAAGAAGAACTTTTGTTTGTTGTGCTTTAAACATTTACCTATAGCAGGAGTTGTCAGAGCAGGGGTTGTGCACACGAACAATAACAAAGACGTGCTGGAAATGGGAGCGAATATTCTGAGGGGTGAAAGGCAGCGCTCCTGGCTCTTGAAAGATTATGGTGACAATGTCGTTTCCTATGTGTCTCTTTCGCAGGAGCTGGGGATAAGAAGAAAGATAAAATGACAGTTCGATAAAATAACGGGTTTTGCAAGTGTGACGTTCTCTGTTGGACACAAACCAACAGCTCTTTATGTAATTTGGTTTTGCCTGCTGTGGGATTTATTTGTGTCTGCATCTCTGTGTTCATGTAGGAAACATGGCACACGGTCCAAGCTGTTGCTGTGGTGCAGTGCATGCCAATCCTCTCTTCATCTGCACTCAAAGTGTGAAAGTACTAATTATGTAATGCAGCCCACTGTTTGGCCACTGGAGCATCATTCACTTCTACTCGTAGGCTGCAGCAAAATAATTTGCATTGAGCTTTGAATAATGTACAGCAACACGAAAGAAGTTGGAATTTTATTTGTTTTATATGCTTTTATTAGCACCTCGACAATTTTTGATTTCAGTATTTATTCTAATATATAGCAACGTGTTGATATACAAGACTAAACAATTACCAACTGTAAGACTGTTGTGCAGCACTAGATGGTTTTCAGCTTTTCAATCTTTTCTGAAAAACCTTCAAAAGCTGCTTTCATATGACTGGCTTAATTCTTCTGTATTTTGAGGTCAGATGCTGCCATCTACAGGTTTGTCTGATGTAAGTAAATGACATTGTCTGCTGCATCGTCTGAACCTCTGGATGGAGTTATTGCACCGTTTATAAAACTACACCTTCTGCCTAAATGTTTTATAGCAGCATTCAACTTTTCAAACAGTTAGAAAGTGATATTTGTGGTTCAGTGACCTGTTACAAGATCTGTTTTGACCAGAAAGTGAAAATGCTATTAGCTATTAATAGCTGTGGGTATAAACAACAATAAAGTCCACTAATTTATACATTAGTTTTATATGAACGTGACTTCTGAGTCGTTTACTCTAATCTGCATTATTTGTGCTGACATAAAATGTACAAACTAATCCTGAGCACCTACAGGGCTTTACAGAGCACATGTGCACACATGTGAGCTTCTCACGCACACACACTTCAGCCAACTACCAAAAAAGTTATTTTACATGCAGTTCTACACACAACGACACGTTGTAAACACTTGAGAATGAGAAGCACGGCTGCTATGTTTGAATAAAAAAGCCCCAATAAAGGGAGAAAATATACTAATAAGTACTCACTGCTGAGCCCCACCCAACTGTGAGCCAGTTAAAGGCGGAGCGGAAAGGGAGAAAAGCCAGAGCGGACAGAGAAACCACACAAAACAAAGGCTATAAAAACACAAGAGGCTAAATTAAAAAAGGAAAGAAACTAAATTTTTGAAGACGGCACAAGTAACAAGTTTCAACTTCTTGGATCATAGCTGTTTTATGATTCGAAGGAAAAGGCAGATGTTCAAAATAACAACCACAGGCGTGCTTTGAAAGGCTTTTGGTGACTACAAAAGGTGGCTGTGTGTGTTTTTCTTTCACATATGCATAGCAGTGTTTGCCCAGCTCCAAAGCACACAGGCTCAGGTAACTGAGCTCTGCTGAATTTGGGTTTGTAAGCTTTTACCTGCTGTGGGTTGCTGGGCATGTATGGCAGCATGGTGGAAACGTGGAACATAACCTCGTAGCCCTGGTAGGTCGTGTAAAGGGAGTGGGTACCCGTTGAGTCAGCTGCAGAGGAAGAAGATATTTTTTATTATCGTAAGTTAATTATAGATGACAGACAGTGTTGAACTGGAGTTTCTGGTTCAGATGTGTCTCCAAAACAACTCATCCAACCTTTCTGGCGGTGATGGCAGTCTAATTATTATGACTTTAACCTCTAGATTAACTCATAACTTCATTTTTGCCCGCCACCATGAAAGGTGGGTGATAATATACATGCTTGTATATCAGTTAGCAAAATATCTCATGAACCACTGGACACGTTTTAATAAGACTAAGAGAAAGTAATCCCTACTGTTGATTAACTTTTGGAGTCAACCTGATATAAAATGGCTGCCAGAGGGCACAAAAATGGCATAACTCAATCAATTCAATAGATACTGAGCTAAAACTTGGTGTGGTAGTAGCCGAGAATCATCCCCAACACATTCTCCGAGCACTAACTGATTGTGCAAGAGCCTTGTTTTAAATTAGAGCACGCCAATGAAACGGGCGATATGCAGTACATCAATAAAAGCTACTTTCATCTGTAAAACTGATCATTTTAAGTCAATCAAAAAGAAATAAACTGTATTTTGAAGCTTATTTTGCCAACCCCCCCCCCACCCCCCCAATGGATTTCTTTGAATACGAGAACATGTACTGATGTAACAGTAAAATGAAAGACGCTCACTCTTTGTGTCGAGCTGTGCAGCGTATTTGTTGAATCCTTTGAGAAGCACCTTCTCCCCCAGCAGCTCCAAGAAGGCAGAGAAGGCAGGTGATGCCTCCTCGTTGTTGTACATCTCCTCCTCTGTGCTCTGACCCGCTCGGCACAGAAGAACACCCACTTTGTGCTTTTGACTCAGCTGTACACACAGAACGAACACGGTTAAAACAGTACAGTTGAAACCCCTTGCATACATACAAAGCTAATGTCAGCAGAAAAGCATTTAGCTCAGCTGTAATGTGTGTTCATGAGTTGCTTACTCACTCACAAAGAGCACAGTTTCACTGTTGTATAAGCCACCTACACAAACAAGCCACCTACTGCTGGCAAAATACCTTCATCCCGCACTTCGCTCATCGTTAAATAAAAGGTGAGATAACATGGCCGATCATTAAAAAAAATTTATGGTTACACTCGTACAAAATCATGACACCCCCTGCTTCAGACAGTTTCACTACCCAAAGGTTGAACTTTAGACCACCAATTAATCTGGTTTAGAGGTTTCACACACACAGACACCATCTCAACATACTATAAGCCACAGTTTCACCTTATCAGGTGTTTACACACTGAGTGAATGCTGACTGTACTGAGCCTTAGGGAGGCTTTGAATGAATCAGCAATCCACTACCAAACTTTATTGGTTAAACCCCCAAATTTATTGCAAATGCAGAAACATTAAACTCACCCCTTGCTCATCCAGTTTAAGGAGTTGCTCTGTGACTTTGGCAGTGCTGAGCGCCTGTCTCAAACAGGAAACATTTAACTCGGGGACGACCTGCTCCAGGACCTCTCTGAGAAGAAGACCTTTAACCGTACCGTGTTTCCCCTTGGACGCTACTGCATCCTCCAAAATGGAGCCTCGCAGGGTCACGAGCTACGCATGGGAGGAAGAGGAGGTTAATTCAAACTGGCAGCAAAATATCTACAGTAATTTAATACAAGACACCCTGTTTATATATCAGAGTCAGAGTCAGTCAGAGTTTCTTTATTGTCATTCGCACCACATGTGGTACATGTGGTGGAGCGAAATTATGTACACAGGGTCCCAGTTACATCAAACAATAAAATGTATAAGAAAAACAGTAATAACATCTAAGATATGAACTACACACATATATACATATATACATATATATATATACACACACATACACACACACACACACACACACACACACACACACACACACACACACACACACACACACACACAGTAGTCCCTCGTTTATTGCGGGGGATCCATACCCTGAAGACCTGCGATAAGTGAAAAACGGCAAAGTAAGAATAGTAGTAAAAGCAGTAAGTTCTAGTTTATTTTAGTGTATATATATATATATATATATATATATATATATATATATATGAAGGTGTTTTAAACCCTTCCCACACTCTTGTAATATTCTAAACAATGTTTCTAAACTCCAAATGCTCTAAAAGAGCACAGAATGTCATGATTTCAGCTCCCTGCCTCCTCAGCTCTTTGCCACCTGCAAGCGCTCTTGGCCACGCCCACTTCTCCGCTCTGCATGGTGAACAGCTGATCAGCTGCAGCAGGAAGTTTATCCTGCAGTATGGGCTGCACAAAGGTGCAGCAGGTGTTAAATAATTTAAAATAATTTATTTTAAATAAAAAATCCATGCCAATCGTGCCGCTCATCAGTCAATCAGTCAATTTTGTGTCATGTCCAATCTTGTTTTGAAAAACCATGATAGAGCGAGTCCGCAATAAACAAACTGCGAAGTAGCGAAGGACCATTGTATATATACATTTCAAAATGATTTGGTAAGCTGGATTATTTCTCTAACAGACATCGAGTTGATGTGAATCCTGCAAAAATACTAAACAAAACAACAAAATTAAAATCATACCAAAGATGTTTAGTGATCAAGAGTTCTGCTGCTCTGTTGCTTTTTTTCTGTCAGTGATTGTGTTTAGAGTGGAGGGTTGTGAACTCAATAGCATTGTGGAATAATACTTTAAATTGAGAAAAGCTTCCAAGAAGGGAAGTGAAATGCCTTCAACTACAACATATAAATCTAGTTGTTATATACATATATATATTTTTTCATTTGCTAAGTCCAAGTGGATGACTGAGAATCCACACCAGCATATTGTGAATTAATATTCCACTTATTGTTGAGCAGTCACAGTGCACCGACTCCTGCTGAGGGCAAATTGACCCACTAGAACACAGTGAAACTATAATCACACTGGATCAGTACAGTTGGGAGGAATGGGCTGCTTGCTCCTCACCATGCTCTCTCACATGTGGGTTTATTAAAAATGCATGACAGGCTCTGGTGCTGGTGGGGGCCAAAGAGACAGCTGAACCTCAGAGACTCGGATCTGCCGCAGAGAAACACAAACCTGATTGACAAGCAGCTGAAGTTATGAAGCTTTTGTTTCAACTTGTCAGCTGCTGTGCGACGGTGGGGAAAGTGACATGCTGAGCTGGAATATCAGAAGGGACTGTGACTGTTGAAAAATGCGATGGAGAGCGAGAGAAGGACGAGAGAAAGAGGAGGTCTCTCCACCTTGCTGTATCAGCAGTGCTGCGGAGTTAAATGACAGACTTACAGAGGAGGGATATTTGAGATGTGCTGTGGTTTGAGTGGGAGAGAATAAATTCAACAATCAATCTCGTTTTTTTCCCTGTGTGGGAACAGCAGGCTTGGCTGCGCTGGCTGCCTCTGTTAGCTTAGCTCTGTGTTCTTGAGCAGACGGGCTCCATTGTTGTAACAGAGTTAAAAGTGATGAGGCCAGGCAGCCATGTAATCCAGCTAAAAACAACACCACACCAACCACACAGAGGGATAAACTCAGTCCAAGACTGCACAAACCAATGAACAGGAGCATGCTTTGTTTCAGATTTAAGAGCTTTGGACGTTTGAACAATACGTTTTATGATTAAGTAAATTCTAAAATAACAAATAAAAACAATTATGTATTGTGTTATTTTATAAAGGTAAACCAGAAAAGAAAAACTTGCAAATAACTAGAATTGAACATTTAATTGATAAATCAATCAGTCATTTATTTACCGGCAATTCCCTTCTTAAGAAAATTTCTTGTCACTTAATGTCATCAAATTGTGGAATTGGGTAATAGAACAATATTAGAATAAAGTGAACATCTTGAGATTAAAATTCAAGATCAATAATCCAGGTAAAAAAAAATCCAACAAAGTTGAGTCAGGTCCTCTGGATGGTTTATTTTTTGTTTAAATGTTTCGTCCTTCATCCAAAAGACTTCATCAGTCTGAGGAGCCGCAACAAACTCAGTCTCATAAGTGGCTTAATCACATGGTGGGTCAAACAATTTGATGGTGATAAGATGGTTTCTGGAGTCCACCCTCTCCTCCGTAAACATCAGAGTTCATGCTCAACAATTCAGGTAAAAAAAATTCAATAAAGTTAAGTCAGGTCATCTGAATCCAGAAACCATCTTATCAAACTGGTTGGTCCACTATGTGAGTGTGCTACTTATGGGACTGAGTTTGTTGTGGCTCCTCGGACTGATGAAGTCCTTTGGATGAAGGACAAAATATTTCAAAAAAAAAAAAAAAAAAAAAAAGAAACATCCAGAGGACCTAACTTAACTTTGTTGAATATCTTGAGGTTCTAAAATCAAATTAAAATCAATTTTTATGATGTGGCTCTTCTTCTGTTTAATAATTATTTCATAGACAAAACTTTGGGGCAACAATAATTAGCTTACTTAAATAATAAATGCGTTTACCCTTAAATTAGTCAAAATTCTCAGTTAAACAGCTTTGAGAATTATATTTGATGCTCTGGAAACAATTTTATGTAACTAAATTTGCAGAAGCGTCTTCAACAATGTCTATGAAAAACTGGAAATAATCTACAAGATTTTTATATATAATAATAAAGTTCTTATAATAAGTTTTCAATATTACCAGTGTGTCATTTTAAGCACTACCAAGATTTGATCCACCTAAGCAGACATGGGTGAGGGGCCAGTTATTTCAGCCAAAGCCACCCGTGTTTGATTTGTCTTAAATGTGTTGAGACTTGAACAACTGGAATTTTCCCACTAGTAAGATGGAGAGCGGGTGAGCGTAGGCTGAGGTGGGAAACAGCCGATGTAATAATCAGGGCAGAGGACACAAGTTGTCACAGGTAAGAGAGGATAAACTGAAAGTAGGTGAGGAACTAACTTGAGCGTGCTTCCTGTGGCTGACTCACCGCCACCCTGTCACTCATAAATCTTTAGGACAAACACACACACAGATAAGTGCTTACCTCACTTGTTCTAACAATGATGCGGTACTGGTACTGGTCTTTCAGGTCTTTGGTATCTTCCAATCTCTCCCTGCGTAGGCTTACGGCAACAGCTCCCAGCTTACCATCGGTCCCAAAGTAGTTTGAGTGCTCTGGTGAAGGACAGAGTTAACCAAGGCTACATTTTGTACTGTGGAGAAATATCCATCTGTTTATGTCTAAACATGAGCGTGTGTTATGTCTATGGCTACATACATCAGCAAACAAAATCAGTTAAGGGTGTTCTTGGTAAAAAAAAAAAAGAAAGAAAAGAAGCAAGCTCTGACATGATTTATTATCAAAGGGAAGCAACATTTCTCAACTCCTAAATGCTGTGTTTGTTATTTGATTCACAACGTTTTAGACAGCCAAAAATAAAAAAATAAACTTTTGTTAAAAATGTTCAAATAAAATTAAATACTGGTATTATTATTCCTTAATAGTAAATTGGTTATCTTCACATTTTGGAGCATCACTCAAACAACCTGGAGACCTGGGAAATTGTAATGAACATTTTTATTTATTTTAATATGTTTTGCATAACCTTTAGTTAAACTGGATAGGATATCTGATACTTTACACAACGCTAGACTAAAAAAAGGTGCAGTGATAGTCAAAGGACAAGGCTAACGCAATGGTTAATTTTCAGGTAATCAATACTCAAGTAATTAAAAATCAGTTTAGGTAGGATAGGAGACGACCCAAAAGAAGAGATGTAAAACAATTTGACTACCAGAATGTAATCACTAAAGGATGAATGTGTCCTAAATCTTTGTTTATTATTCTATGACTAGTAGATATATCAGCAATCTTCACACACAACTTGCACATCCTTTATCAGAGCTCCTCAGATAAGCTGCTAACTCCATCACCACAGGCAAAAATGGGACTCAAAACACAAATGATCTAGAATTATCCAAACTCTTGAGGAGGAATCTACCTTCCATGAATTATTCTCCATTTCTTGTTTGACTGGAGTCATTTGGGAAGTCATAGATGTTAGGAACCTCATGCCTATTGTCTTTGCCATGTCCTGTGGTAGAGATGTCAACTTTTTGAAGAAGATTTCAGATATGGACACAGGACACGACACAGCAAGCACACATCCCAGCAGCATTCAGGAGGACAACTAAGCTGGAATGGAGTCAGCAAATGTACATATTTTTGGAATGTAACCTTTGTTTGCGTCGCTGCAGGCCTGTGTCTCTCTCACAGACACACATACAAGCTCGCTTGCCTGCACACACGCTCCTAATAACATCTGGCACTAATTAGTATGGAGCCAGATGATGCTTGCCAAGGGGGAAGTGTCATCAAAAGTGTCTGAAGAGGTGGTGCTGACAACAAATGCCCACATGTATACACGCACGCACCAAACATGTTCTTCCTTCCTGAAGTCTGACACTAAAAGCCAGGTGTAAAACAAAGCTGAGCTGGCTGGTGTGTTAGGTACTGGGTTGGACCCTGAGGCAGGTGGTGCATCGTCAGTTTTAAGTTTGCCAACTGTTCAATGGTAGCTACATGGGTATTCAAAACTGCTGGAGGATTACCAGTTTGTCCAGCTCTGCTCATGCACGACTGAATGTTAAAAGTTGTAGGATGCAAAAACTCTGGCTTTGGATGCTCAGACAATATCTACTGTAACTCACAGATAAATGTCTGTAACCGTCTAATTTAGAATATAAAATTATCTAATCATACCAGTATGAATTACATAGGGCTGCAAAAAATTCAAGTATTAGATGAGTTTGGGCAAGCGAGTACAGTATAGCTTGTTTTATGTTGTTCTTTATGAAGTGTTGTTTTAAGATAAAATCATATCTTACATTTTAACTATGGTATCAATTTAAAATAAATATCTGAATTACCTTTCCCATGGAAGTAGTCTCTGTAGTAGCAGGCCCCCAGGTCAACATGCTCTATACTGTACAGTTTCAGTTTTTCCAGTCTTTTCACTTGCTCTTCAATTGGTATTTCCAACACCGACATGCTGGCGTTACTTTTCCTCAGCCAGCCCCTACCTCCATCTCTATCTCCTCCCCGCTCCACTGATGAACTGAGGAAGCTGATGTTTCGCTCTGAATTCCCCCCTATTTCATTTACAAAGTGAGGGCAGGAGAGGAGCAGTGGGCTTGAGTTGTTGGTTGATGGCCCATCCAGAGGGTCCATAGCCAGAGAGGGTGTTGGGGTGCCCTGATCAAGGTTCAAGGTCAGATCCTCAATGCTGGAGTAAATGGGATCATTTAAGTTTGGAGCAGAAGATTTGCTGGAGAGGGACACTGAAGCAGCTGATGCACCTGTGGCGGTGTTCCTCCTCTGGGTGACGAAGCCCCGCTGAGCTGCTGCCTCATGGAGGTCAAACAGGATGCTCTGAGCGTCAAAATGGACAAAGCTCTTGGGACAAACCCACGGTTTGTAGGAGGCATCTGTGAAACCTTTCCCTCCCCGATCTTCATTAGTCTCTCCTTTTCCACCATCCAGCTCCCCTCTACTAGAGCTTCGACATTTTCGTAACAAAGAAGAGGTCCCCAATGATGACTCTGTTCCTCCACTTTTCTTTCTGACTCTCTCAGTACCATCCCTCCTTCCCGTTCCTGGGTCATCTCCATATGTGGGACCTGGTGAAGGAGCAGAGGGTAGAGATGCCCTAAGCGACAAGTCTTGGGGGTGCAGCAGCTCCCCTATCTGTACGGGTGCTGAGCTGCGCTGGTCAGGTCTCTCCTGGTGTAACTGGCTGAGCATGTCAACGATACACTGCTCAGGAATGCTCTGGATGTCAATTGAAGAGGTGCTGCCATACTCTCTGAACCGGTTCCCCATCCCACCACCTCCATGGGCTTCAACCTTGGAGAAGAAATGTGTGACAACCATGAATATCAATCAATCTACAAATTAGATATTAGTGCAGACCACATGGTTAGACAGACATTCTAAACTAATTACCATATTTTTAGCCCTATAAGTCGTTTTTTGCATAATTTGCATGCGCTGCGACTTATACGCCAAAGCGACGTATTTATGGATTTTTCCCCATATTTATAAACCAACTTTTGGCTGAGATGACAGTTTTCATTCAATCTGACTGAAAATATTGAACACTACCATTTTCAGCCGCTAGATGGCACTCGAGTAGTATGGCATGCCGTTGTATCATGTAATAGGTAAAAGCGGCTATTAATGATACAATCGGCTTGCCATAGCCTCCCACCTTCGTTCTGCTCACTTGGAGCAACCATCAAATCGGCTTCATTTCGCTGCACCACCCCAGCAAAATACAGCTGATTTGACCACTGAAGTCCTTTTATTAAGTAAAAATTCAATTAAGACACACCTTTACTATAAAGTCGAGCTAACAAATAATTGTTTTTAGGTGTTAATCTTGTTAAATTTAGAAGAAACGAGCAGCGACTCGTTCCTCTGTGCACTCCTCCTATTTCCGCTTATCAGCTTTTGAAATGCAGCTGAATTGACCGTCAAAGTGCATTTATTAAGCCAAAGTTAGACAGAGACCAGACCTTTACTATAATTTTGAGCAAACACAAATGTTTTTAGGTGTTTATCTTGTTAAATTCTTAATAAATTCCTTCCATACACGCCCCCATGGCCGCCATTTGGCAGCCAATCGATTTTTGGCACAACACTGGCCCACATTTCCGGGTTCATCCCACATTTCCAGGTTGTCAGCGGTGACGTGTAACAAACGAGACACGTCAGCGTTGACGCATTATAGATGCGACGTATATGGCGAAGCAACGTATTTATGGATTTTCCCACTTTATTAGACATATATAGACTGATGCGACTTATAGAGCGGTGCAACGTGTATGGCGGAAATTACGGTAGTTGTATTAATTTTCCACTGACCTCTGACCTTTGCTTTAAATAAACATTCTTTGTATTAATATTTATGCAAAATAACAGAAAAAAACCTGAAGATTCACCTCATTTTCATCTTGTTCACTCAGCGTCACTTCACTGTTGGAGCGCTGTCTCAAAGGTGGGAACACTCTGAAGATGAGCGGTGAACCTCTGAACTCCACATCCTTCGACCGTCTTCGGGGCAACCTGGCGACACCTCCCCGCACCAACTTGACATCAGAGGAAAGAATTGGAGATGAAATGGAGCAGTCGTCGTAGTGATTGCTACCATTTTGCCCATTTTCAAGCAGCGACTCCCGGGACTGCGCACGACGTGGAGGCCATTCAGCAATCCGTGCACGAACACCCATTTTGGGCATGGAAATGCGTGGTTGGATTGTTGGGTCTGCTGGGCTGGGAGCTGGGAGGCCATTAGGGGTGTGACGAAACGGTGTGTGTTGGGGCAAACCTCCACCTCCATCTAGAAGGTCTGAGGAGGTGCAAGTTACCCCTCTGTCTTTGTAACTGTTCATGACACCCCAGGAGAGCTCAGGGCAGGGGGGCAGTCTGCAGGCATCCCATCTTAGGAAGGGTTGCTAGGGAAAAGGGAACGGAAGGGCCCCACACACACTCTTCTAATGGTGTTGTGGCTTCCAGCATCCAAGCACATCGCTTTTAACTAGAAGGTAGAAAAGATTTCAACGGTGCATAGTGGGACTGGTCTGAATAAAGGCCGCTCCTCTTCCCCTGGCTGGGTTATTTCCAGTATTCTGTGATAAGAGAAGAAAAAAGGGAATTTAAATATCCAAATAAAACACCTTAAGAGTATCAGCTTGGAATTGTTTTTAATGTAAATAGAATGAACAACCCAAATATACTAAACAAAATCAAAGAAAACTTTAGCATTGGTTTGAGAAATGCGAGTCATTCCACTGTAAAACACTGAGGTGAGGGGAGATGACAGCGGAGTTCTTATATTTGGGGTAATCTTCAGGAGGGATATTATCATCACTCGTTGGTGCGCTTATGCACGCACACACAGGACATGAAGGTTGTGGCTGCTTTGCTGCAAAGTAAAACATCTAAAATGCTTCAGCTTGTATTAACTTATGAGCATAGAGGTAGTACAGTCAATCTGGTGCCTTTACACACAGATTATATTTATGCATCTTTCAAAAGTACCATAAGTGTTTTGACTAATTTACATAGACAAAGGAGACAAAGAAGCAACACAATTTCTAAACAGTGATGTAAACAACAATCAATCAGAATTTTGTGCAATAAGTTGTAAAACAGTGAAAGGATTAAATAGTGGACGACAGAAAAGGACAAGAACATACAGAAACTCAGCATCAGCCCGAGGGGTGAGGCTGAGTAAAGACAGAAATAGGAAAGAGTCGGGAGAAGCACGGAAAGAGCGAAGCATTGCTCAGTGAACCACGTCGATGTGCTTCAACATGACAGTCACACAGCATCAAATCTTAAGAAGCCAATAGCCTTGTAAGAACTTTGGCTTATTTAGAAGCTGTTTTTGTTTAAGCTGATGCTTAATGTAGTTTTATTTACAAGTCCTGACATTGTGATTGGTAACCTGAGTAACTAATCTAACATGTTTTTTAGTAATCATTAGGAAAGAGAAAACATTTAGGCCAGATGCTTTGATTTTGAATAGTGTAGTTGCTGAATAGTGGGTACGTTTTCTATGATGTGGTGATGACTGCTGGGTGAAAGTGATGTCAGGATGGTTCATACTAATTTATTTTATTTCAGTTCAGTTTATTTATATGCTGTCAAGTCACAACAGAAATCATCTCAGGGCACTGAACAGAAACATTCATATACTACAGACCTAATATACTGATAGCTCTTCTCTCGTTGTTGGGTGCTGAATCCAGCAGGACATGTTTTACGGGGGTTGCCATGTATTTTTGAAACCGCAGTCTGCACACGAGCACTGTGGGGCTTTGAGCCCCACCTCCTCCCCCACACACAATCATGTTTTGACCTTTCTTTTAAAATTAAACAACTTGCTATAGCTGTGTTAGAAAAACAATTATTTGAACAAACAGAAGCAAGATAAGAACTACAAAAATCAACAAGAGTCAACACCTAAATAAATGATCCGAGAGGTTTATTTTAATTTCTTAACAAGGGCAATGTTAATAAGGGCAATGTCTTGTTTGGGTGGCTCAGTCGGTAGAGCTGCTGCCTCTCAGCGAGAAGATCGCCAGATTGAATGGTGACCGGGGGAATTTCTGGGTGGAGTTTGCATGTTCTCTCCATGCATGTGTGGGTTTTCTCCAGGTACTCCAGTTTCCTCCCACAGACCAAAAACGCATGTCAGACTGATTGGTAACTCTAAATAGTCCCTAGGTGTGAGTGAAAGCGTGAATGGTTGTTTGTCTCTATGTGTCCCTGTGATGGACTTGGACTTGTCCAGAGTGTCCCCCACTTCTTGCACATTGACTGCTGGATATGGGCACCAGTGACCCCCCACAACCCAAAAAGGAAAAGGCGGGTAAAGATATGCAGTACGAAGTCTACTTCAAATACAATATTTAGTTCATAAACAAATGTGAAAAATATTCCAACAAGAATTTTATCGAACTTTGAGCAAAAAATACATCACTGTGTTCTGTACTTTAATTCTTGTTATAAAATATCTTTGTTAGATTATTGCATCAACATTTTAAATTTCAAGACTTTTTACTATTACTCAGGGTGAATGATATATTTTTAGTGCATTTGCATCAGTTCATACAATCTTACATTTAGTTTAAAGACGGGCCTACTGACACTCAGTATCGACAGTGAAAACACTTAAAACACATTTTATAAAGATGGCAAAAGAAAACTTTTCTTTTGGGGGGAAAAGCTAAGACCATGTACCAAATTCTACAAAGAAATACAAATATGTGGTTCAAATAGTCTGAGAAGGTCCAATATTTTGGAATGAGAGTTAGAGAAAATTCTGTAAAATGTAGGAGTTGCCCAAGTCTATAAGTCTATCTATGCTGTGTGCCATTGTCAGATTAAAGCAGCTATCTCCATAAGTCTCTCTTTAAACTGCTGAAGTCACTGAAATAACTAGACTGAGTTAGCTCTCTGAGAACACACACACAAACTGAAAATACAGCGCTTTAATAATGAACCCTAGTTTGTTTCCAGGGTTTAAGATGTAATAGTTTCCCTATTTGGTTTATAATACGATTCAATTGTTTTGTCAGTTTTTTTTTTCTTCTTCTAAAACAAAGATTTGATTTAGATTCAGTAAGAAAATAAAAGCTTACGCTCCTATTTTCCCAAGTTTGCATTTTAAGCTTAATTGGTTGTGAATAACTCATTATAAAGCACAATCTGCGTAAACAAAGGCTGCTCAGAGAGGGTTGTGTGTGTTTTATGATATATAACATTTTTACAAGTCCTTGCAGAATTTGTTTTTGGCCCCTGCACTACATTCCTTTTTTTCTCATATACACAGAGATAGACACATGGGAACCACCCAACAAATCTCATTCAGAGCAAACAGAATCCCACTATATCCAATAAAGCACACAAATGTGTCACGTCTTTGTTTCTGGAGGAGCACAAGCATTTCCGGGCCAAAGGCTCCGACTCTGATCATGCTTTCTGACAGAGTCTGCCCTTATTCAAAAGGCTGTCCTGTGATCCCCTACGAGACCCAATCCCAGATTATCCGCCCCAGCTGCAGGAGCTGGAGAATGACTTCATTATGTGCCTGATGAGAGAGGCAATGGAGAAAGCGTGGTCTGTTTTATCAGTGAGAAACACACCTACGTTTAACACCAACAGACACAAACTATGGTCTTGGGCTCACACAATGGCAATTGTAACATTAGATAAATATGTGTTGCATATTAGAATGAATTGACAAAATAAATGACATTCAAAGACAAAGAAGAAATGAATAATTTCTCCCTCTATAGTAGAAATTGGGTAAATGTATTCAGGATTGGCACAGATGTCAGAAGATTAAGAGCAGATATTTAATGTATTTTAATTACTCACATATTAGTGATTAGTTAGCACAAGGATCTACCTCCCTCGCTCTGACGCTACCATTTATGTTCCTTCATTCTCTGCACACAGGCTCTGACTTGCCCAGCATGATGCAGGGCTTGGCACATGCACCGCAAACACACACCGAGGTTGGTAATTATGCTCGTTAGATGGTAGTAATGACAGAGCAAGCAGAGGAGGGCAGCTTCCAAAGGAATGAGCGTAATCATTGTGGAGGAGGCGCCGCCGCTGCTGATCACTGGTATGTCACAGCAATGCAGCAGACCTGTGATCAGTCAGGATCGAGGCAGTGCCTTTAAATCAGAGATAAGCAGGGATCGAGCTGCCATATGTTGCAGCAGGGATGTATGTCAACGAGCAAAAGTCAAGTGATTTACTGGTACATGCAAAGACTGAAAGACTTTTAAGAATCAACAAAAAGCATATACTTTACACAGTTAGGAAAATTCAAGCGGTTGTGATAAAAGAAAAACGTTCCAGCATGTGTTTAATAGAGCAAACTGAAGTCTGAGTTAGGTTAAGGTCTGGTTTGAAGAGCAGATGGTAGTACATATGACAGACAGACGGCAGATAGAAGCATGGGAGAGTATGACGCCATGATACGACACAAAGCATCACTGCTGTCTGAGAACTGCACCATCCAGCATTAAAGTCATATGAGGGCAGAGAAAAGATCAGGAGACTGGCAGCTCTTCAGTGACTAAAAAGTAGCCTGCATATAATTAAAATATCATGGAAAAATTGTTTAACTTCCATAATTCCATTCAAAAAGTTAATCTTTAATAGATGATAGATTCAGGGCCCACAATTTAAACAATTTCAAGTATTTATTTGTTTATTTTTACATAATTTGGGCTTCCAGCTCATGAAACCCACAAAAACGGGATTTCAAAAAATTAGAATACTGTGGAGAAATCAGCTCAAATTTTGCAGGGCATGAATGTTTTAAACTGAGTGTGACACACTAATCATCTACTAAACTCAAAGCACCTGCACAGGTTTCCCCAGGTGTCATTAAATTGCTTCAGTTTGTTCAATTGTCTCAGTTCGGTTCAATAAGGGAAAGACTGCAGACATGACTGGCCAGAAGACCATCACTGATTCCCTCCATAGTATGGGTAAGCCACAAAAGTTCATAGCTAAGGAGGCTGGCTGTTCACAGAGTGCTGTGTCCAAGCATATCAATGGAAAGTCTAGTTGAAGGGCAAAATGTGGCAGGAGAAAATGCACCAGCCAAAGAGATGACTGTGGGCTTCAGCAGATTATCAAACAGAGAAGATTCCAGAATCTGGCAGAGATCCAGAAAGAGTGGAATGAGGCGGGAGTCACAGCTTCAAAAACCACCACATTCAGATGCATCCAGGAGATGGGCTACAACTGTCGGGTTCCTCAGTCCTCTTTTCCGATGAAAGTAAAGTTGTGCCTTTCATTCAGAAATCAAGGTCCAAGGGTTTGGAGGAAGAAGGGTGAGGAACAGAGCCCATACTGCTTGAGGTCCAGTGTGAAATATCCAGTCAGTCATGATTTGGGGTGCAATATCCGGTGCAGGTGTTGGTAAACTCTGCTTTCTTAAATCCAAGGTCACCGCAACAGTCTACCAGAATGTTTTAGAGGACTTCATGATTCCTTCTGCTGATGATCTGTATGGAGATGCAGATTTCATCTTCCAGCAGGACCTGGCCCCTGCCCATGCCACCAGAAACACCAAAATCTGGTTTGATGTCCATGCCACAGTGCTTGACTGGCCAGCCAACTCGCCGGACCTAAACCCCATTGAGAATCTATGGGGTATTCTCAAGAGGAACATGAGGGGCACCAGACCCAACAACAAAGAAGAGCTGACAGAAAACATCAAGGAAATCTGGGTTTCCATAACTCCCAGTCAATGCCACAGGCTGATTGCCTCAATGCCACATCGCATCGAGGCAGTGATTAAGGCAAAGGGATTCCCAACCAACTATAGAAGATTGACATATCGCTTTGAAAATACCATATTTTGACTGATTTGTTGTAGGGGTGCACCGATTTATCGGCCCTGATTTCTTTAAATTTGGGAAATTGGCCGAAACTTGCATGAGAAACCGATTTTACCTATTTTTTTTGTTTGTTTTAACAATAATTGTCCAAACTTGATTTATATTTCAGAGCACTACCTCATGGCCAGTTAAAACAAGTTTGTATTGTTTCTAGGATATTGTTCAAGAGTATGTTTTTCAATAAAATAAGATTGGAAAAATTGAAGGTGCATTGTGACCTTATAACACCTGACAGTGTCGCTTATAAAACAAAACCGGACAAAATCGGAATCAGCAGGTCAGGCTTTTTAGAAATCCGTGCTCGGCCAGGAAACTGCAAATCGGTGCACCCCTAATTTGTTGTGATCCTAATTTCTTTCTTTTTTTCTGCAAAAACTGAGTAGTGTGGGCTGATGTCTCCACAGTATTCAAATTTTTTGAAATCCTGTTTTGGTGGGTTTCATGAGCTGGAAGCCCAAATTATGTAAAAAATAAAAAGATAAATACTTGAAATTGTTTAAATTGTGGGTCCTGAATCTATCATCTATTAAAGATCAACTTTTTGAATGATATTATGGTAGTTAAACAACTTTTCCATGATATTCACATATCTTGGAAAGGGTCTGTATATATATATATATATATATATATATTGTTATTACTGTATCAGAAGAGAGAAGATGCAAGTTTGAGGTTTAGATTCAAGGTTTACTTCAGATTAAAGAGTAGTTGAAAATTTTGTAGAGACTGTTTCAGTTTATTGAGTGAAAAATGTGGACTAAGACTTTCTAGTATGCTGAGACTATGGCTAAAATAACTTGTCAGGCAGCCTGAATAACTCATTTACAAAAAAAATCGATTTGATGCTTCATTAAATCCATGTGACTGCATAATGCTTGGGGACCACCATGTTTCACAGGGGTTTTACTGTCGGAGGACATGATGATATAAGCTTCTGTGCAATAACAAAAAAGGGAGAATAATAAGCAGAAAATCAAAGGAAAAAAATAAAAGTTTGAGACTATAAGAAACAAAAAGGCAACAAAGAAGTTTAAAAAGAAAAGAAGTGTGACAAGATTAAACAAAGGCAGTTTTTTTATAATGTGGTAAGTTCATATTTTTTGGCTTGAATATTTTACTGTTTTTTTGTAGTGAAACTTGAAGGAGACAGTGCGTCTGCATTTACCTGACATGACTGAAGTAGTAACTTGAGTTTCCTCCACAATACAAGATTTGACAGACAAATTTGATCTAATGTGCGGCTGGCTTGCATGCTAAGCAGTGGCTCTTGTTTATGTGGAAAATAAGTTTCTTCTTCCACATCAGTTTGAATTCTACTAATTGTAGAAAAATGTGTTTTTGCCCATATTGCTCTAATAGTAGTATATGTGCCAAAAAATGAACCAAAAAAAAAGTCTAGTTGTGACTATAACTGAAAAGAGGGGCTAAAACCTCGAGTCCTACAGGAAACACTAAAAACAACAGTGACAGACCAAAATATCAGGCTGGAAGGAAACGCTCAGTTGAAGCCTCGGACTCTGTTCTATATTGGGCTTGTTAAGTCTGTTTGGGTTATCTGGAGGAGACATCTCTCTCACTCGCTCTCTCAGACCAGAGCCTTATGAAGCTGCAGTTCTCCCAGAGTCACCTTGTTTTCCTCACAGATCTTTCCTCTCGTCCCATTCTTATTGTCTCAATTGATTTACTTCCACACTATTTGCTGAATCTCGCTGAAGTTGCAAGTGTCAGTTCATTCTGACTGCCAGTTTGTCAGGCCGTTGTCCCATGATACCAAGGCAGTTCATGAAAAAGGAGACTAACGGATGGAGTGGAAAGACTAATTTTGCACGCAAGCACAGCCAGACATTGATGTAACAAGGAGTTAGCAGATGGATCGTGAGCTGTGGCCCACCAGTCATCATTTACTGGTTTATTTGTGGAAAAAGCACAAGATTTACAATTATAGTGTGTGTGTGTGTGGGGGGGGGGGGGGGTGTGACTAGAAAGCTGTAGAGATAACCAATAGAATAGAAACAAAAAGGAGAATAAATGTAAAGTGATATACAGAACATTACCACAGATAATTTACTTTCTCTTTTAAAACATGTGAAATTTTCTTTATATTTAGTTATAGGCTGCACTGAAGATCTCAAACAATAATGGCCCCATATTTACAAAACAGAAGGTTAAAGTTAAAATAAAATTCGGACAACTCTTGCAGCAATAGTTCAAGTGCAAGTCGAAACGCTTCCTTAAGCAGACAAAACAAATGTGCAGTACATTTGCACATTTACATCAACAAACAGAATGAAACAAACTAAATGCTTTGTAAAGCATTTTTGGACACACAGAACTATGTGAAGCCCTGATGTAGTGAAAAAAGTATTTGTTTCTGAGCGTACATGCCTGTGAAGAATGTCTTTATGAAAGCAGAGCATGTATCAAGTCACCTGCCTTTCTTTATCTGAACTAAAATGCAGTGGAGGAAGTGCTTTATCTACAAACTAGGAATATAAAATGTCTACACACTGCAAAAGAAATGTTATATAAGTTATTAAGTAAATTAGTATTTAAACAAGTCTTTTAATCCCATTTTTTCATAATTAAATTTTCTGAAAATCAAGGGGTACACAAAAGAATGATTATAGTTAAACAAATCATAGAAAGCCTCTTATTTACACAATGAGCTTACATGAAGACAGTTCAGATATGGCCTAAAAGCAAAGAACTGGTCAGCTAAATGTTCCTCCAAAGTTTTTAAAAACGCAGATCAAAACTGACAATAAATATATTTGTGGGCTTAAAGAACGACACATAATATGCAGCAATCGTACCTTGTCTGTTGTCAGCTGTGCTGGTGAAGCAGGCGAGGCGAGGTCTGGCGTGACTGTGTGGGCAGAGAACGCTCAGTATTTTAATCTGCAGGGGGAAAAGAGAAATTGATGTTTCAGAAAACTGAACTAGACTTCTTTTTATTGCTCTGAACTACGCTTCCTTGTGGAAGAGTAAAGTCTGTTTGTACATTTTAGTACAGGTGTTAAAATGATTTCAGGCTTGGTTCAAGTTTGAATGGCGTGCTTTTTGACAAGCCAGCATAATATAGTATATATAGTATATATGTCCAATTTTTAAATAAGCTACCCTTATTTGTTAAAGTAATAAAAAACATTTCTGGTATTTTATATTTTATATAATCTGTGTGAGAGTAACATCTAAAAGGTATGTATGTGTTTCTACAGGGAAGACGTAATTAGGTTTGTGCTGAAAGGGCTATCAATATGGACATATCAATTGTTGGAGAGGATTCTGAACAAAAATGCCTGAGGCGATCCATCTGAGCTGAAGCTGAACTGTAAACAAGTCAACATGCTATTCATATGGCTTGAAGACTAATTTGGTTGGAAACATGACACATTCATTCAACCTTTATTTAGACAGGTAAATCCCATTGAGCCTCGAGGACTCATTTACAAGAGAGCTTGTAAGTGCAAGTCGAAATGCTTGTTATGATCTATCCATCATTTAACATCCAAGACTCTTGCATCAGCATCACATCATTGAGGCGGCTGTGGCTGCAGTGATTATAGCAGTTGTCCTCCAATGCAAAAGTTGGGGGTTTGATTCCAGCAGCAGTCACATGCTGAAGTGTCCCTGGGCAAGACACTGAACCCCTCATTGCCTCCGGCATGTGTCCCATTGGTGTATGAATGTGCTCTAAAGCAATGATTAGTCATTGTAAAGACGTACAGTAGTAGCATGCTGTATGAATGAGTAAACACAGATTGTAAAGAGAACACATAGCTTTTGCAGATGAAAAACTTTAAGTAACAAGAAAACGCCAGTGGACATGTTCATTTAATCTGTAAATAAAGGTAAAAAGAAACATGTGCATCAACCTCAATGCATTTTTGCGTGGTTTCCCTTCTCATCCCAAACTCTGCCATTTTATTGCTCTGTTTAATGCAAAGTCAGATTTATGTCGGAGAGAAGGTGACGTGGAGGAGCACAATGATCAGTAGGAGGGAGGGTTTCTCATGAAAAAAATAAAAAAAACTGGGTGATATGAAGCCAAAGAAGTGGGAGGAAGGAAAATGGCAAACATACTGTCCTAAGGGGAAGAACCATTACGGTCTGGCAAATACAGTTTTAATCAATACTGATCAATCAGGCTCCACTTATCCTGCCACACAAACGATAATAACTTTGGGAGTAGAGAGGAGGGGTTGGATGGGGGTCAGTGACCGGGCAAGTGTCTATTTTATCGCAGCAAAGTATTGCTCTGAAAACCAGCAGTGTCAGCATGGATGTAAGGCTTATGTTTCTCTCCACAACCCTGAAAATGAAATTAAACTCCAAGTGAAAATATCCCAACCATAGCAAGGTTTGCAATTGCCTACTTGCAGCACATGTGAGAAATACTGGATTCATCCCATCACACAGAACATGCGCTTAAGGATACACTCACAGGTAAGAGCCCCAAGCACATATCCACACTAAATATTACAAACTTCAAGAAATGTCACAAAGAAACTGACTTAAATTTCAACGGATTAAAAAACTGTGGACAAACTCTTGATTGAAGGTAATTCAAAGAGACTATGCTTTCCTTTGTCTTTCCTATGTGTTTGATCAGAACAAAGTGAAAATAAGAAACTTTGGTACAAGACTTATACTGATTGTATCATTTAACATCAAAGACTCTCGCATCAGCATCACATCATTGAGGCGGCTGTGGCTGCAGTGATTATAGCAGTTGTCCTCCAATGCAAAAGTTGGGGGTTTGATTCCAGCAGCAGTCACATGCTGAAGTGTCCCTGGGCAAGACACTGAACCCCTCATTACCTCCGACGTGTGTCCCATTGGTGTATGAATGTGCTCTAAAGCAATGATTAGTCATTGTAAAGATGTACAGTAGTAGCATGCTGTATGAATGAGTAAACACAGATTGTAAAGTGCTTTGAGTATCTTGACAAGATAGAAAGGCGCTATATACTCCATTCAGATAAAGGGAGCTGGCTAACTAGCTTGCTGTATGATGGCCTACAAGGTCAACTTCTACAGTGGCTGAGCAGACATGTAATGCGATATGCAGTACACTCGGGAGTAGGAGTGGAAAACAATAAAACTTAAATGCACCCCTAAATTCTTTAATGAATCTATTTTTTCTGCACCCTTAATAAGTACAGTCCATTTACCATTCCATTTACATAATTGATTTACTGTAGTAAATGTATTGAGTCAAAGGGCAACTGTGGTAAAAAGCTAAACTTTTGTGAAGACCAAAAAAATGAAAACAACACATTTGATATTAAATTTCTTCAATCTATAGAAGAAAGAATATTTACAAAGAATACAGAAGATTAGCAAGAGCAAGTTTTTGTACTGAACATTTTTTGAATCAGCAAGATACACCACAAGTCTACATCCTCACAAGTTGAAGTTGCACTGTCACGTCTTCACAAAGACGATAGTTGTGAAATTGTAAAGTTGATTATTTTCACCTCTGCAACTATTATTCTTCAACTAACAAACTGGACAATATCTAGTGCTTTCCATCTTTTTTGTATCAACAAAACAGGCATCTGAAAAATAATGCTTTTAAGAACGCACACAACTTGTTTGGTCAGAGCAGCAGAAGTTCAGAATAGGATTCCTGAAGACCACAATAAAGGCAAATGACCTTTGTGGCCTCCAAACACCATAAATAAACCTCTATGGGTAGCAGCATAGAGTCACTTGGGGTGACTGCAACCCTGCTTACGTCTTGAGCATCTGCTGTATATTTAGTAGAGGAGTTGTTCTGTGTGGCTCTGAGAGTACTGCCAGACAGAATCGCTGTCATACAGCCAGAACAGAGCTGGCTTAACCCCCTCTCTGCATGTCTGAGCAGGCAGTATGTTTTTTGTAAGGATATTAAGATGAGTTCAGCATAAATGATTTTTATAAATAAATAAATCCGTCTGCCAGAGGCATTAAATAGAAGAAATGCTAATCTTCTCTCATTACAGTAGGGGTGCAGCTACTACTGACAGGATAAAATGAGGTTGTGTGTTTGTGCGTCTGCAGGCATGTCTACATCTTTAACATGATCAGCATTTTGTTGTGGTTAGGACGGATTATTGTCACTTTGACGCAATTTTTTATTTTTTGCTTTGTCAGTCCTCAAGACATCAGCCTACTAAAGCTTGTACTGACATCCACAAATTACAGCAGTACATCTCTGGTGCGCTGGGGAGAGGTAGTGATGGTGTTTCAGCTTTTGCATCTCCCTTGGCTGCAGTGGATTGGTAACATGTGAACACATACAAACGTTTATCGTTTATTTATTTATTACAGTTATGACTTTCATGGGGGGGCACAGTAGGTGGTGCTGCTATGTGGGCACCATGCCCCCCTTGGATAATAATAGGGAGAAATGTTGAACAAATATATGTTTATATTTTATTTTTAAAACAATTACTTGAATCTTTAATTAAATTCTAATGACAATCTAATCAGTATTTTTAATTATTGTTTTACTCATTTTAAATAGGACTGCTCAAACAGGTTACTATCAAAATGCAGATATTTTTAGTGTATACTGGCAGGTGTGTCTGAGTTAGTATATTTATATATTGCACAGTAAGCTGGAATGTGCGATGACACATCTCAGTAGATGAAGGAAGCAAAGGAATCGACACTGGGAAGTGGAGACATCCATGCTGCTGCTCTGTTCTGTGATTCTTACAGCAGAATCTTCTATTGAAATTGAGCAATAAATGTGCAAGCAGCAAACACAAACAAAAAATTCCTTCTAGCATCCTTCCTCTAAGTTTCACAAATGAGTGATGCATAGCTTTGTTATGAAGAGTCCCACTTTGAACATCTTCAATTAAATGAAAGCAACACAGAGTGGCAACATCACATGAGGGTAAAGTGGAAATTGTGTATGAAACCATACAGGTTAAAGATAAAACAATCTGATAATTTGATCAGTTAGAAGCAAATCAATATGAAAATTGATTAATTTTTGTATTGTTTTTATCTGGTACATGTCAAACAATATTAATAATGAACAATTTAAGATGATGTGGACCCCAATTGTAATCGTAAATTTTATGACCACTTCATTCAACCTAATTATTCTACTACAATCAAGAAGATTTATGTTAAAATGTCTGAGGCTGAAAAATACAAACATTATATATACATATATTTATACATTTATATATACATATATTTATACATTTATATATATACATATATTTATACATATATATATATATATATATATATATATATATATATATATATATATAAATAAGTTATTTTATGGCAATTACTACAATTATAGACATTAAATATGGTTATGTAGTAATATGCATAGATCTGCTTACAGCAGACCCACTTGAAAATGCTGCTGTAGCTGTTTGATTGGTATGCTGGCGCTGGTTTCCATAGGAACGTGAAGGTGCACCAGCAAAAAGACGTATGATGTAGGCGGCTGCCCGCAGGCAGAGAGGACACACAACCTGAGAGCAGAGCTGTAAAATAATAACAACCAAAGCAGTAATGCAGAGAGCACAGCCATCATCAGATGATCATATTGTAGCCTGTTGTGTACCATCACTGCAGCTAAGACCACACACACACACACACACACACACACACACACACACACACACACACA